GAGAGTGACCAGGTGGGAAGAGCAGGGAAATGGGACATTTCGGGACCGGGGGGAGGGTGGTTCCACCCCACCTTGCTCCAGTTTTTCCCTATGGTGTTTTAATGGTAGAATTGCTATGAGCTGGGGGGGCTCCGAGGCCGTGGTGGTGCGACTGGAGCAGCACCATGTGGCTCGTGGGGGGGGGGGAGTGTTTGGGGACAGGAGGGGACAGACCCCAATGGCATCTGTCCTGCAGACCAGCCAGGACATCTGCTGCGTGGTCTTTGCCCTCTTCAATGTCATCTGGTCCACCCTCTTCCTCGAGGAGTGGAAGCGCCGGGGGGCCGGGTTTGCCTACAAATGGGGGACGTTGGACACCCCGGCCGAGTCCATTGAGGAGCCACGTCCCCAGTTCAGGGTGAGCCCTGCAGGAGGGCGGGGATGTCCCTGGGGCTGGGGTCTTGCTGAGGCTCCCACACACACCCCCTGACCCCGCTGAGCCACCCAAGCTCAGTGCAGAGAACTGTCACCTTCGCGACACCCCGAGGGGGTCAGCGCTGGGCCCAGGGGGGGATCCCGTGGGGGTCCCCGCTGTGGGGAGGGTCACACAATGCTGTGTGTCCCCCTCCCCGATTAGGGCATTAAGAGGATCAGCCCAGTGACCAGTGCCGAGGAGTTTTATTCCCCCCCGTGGAAGCGGCTGCTCTTCCAGTGCATGGTCAGCCTCCCCGTCTGCCTCGCCTGCCTCTCCTGCGTCTTCCTCCTCATGCTGGGCTGCTTCCAGCTCCAGGTGGGTCTTTGTCCCACCCACATCGGGCTGCCAGGTCCTCCCCCCCATCACCACCCCTCCAGTACTGACCCCATCCCCATCCCTGTCCCTGTGCAGGAGTTCGTGCTGAGCATCCAGGAGCTGCCCCGGATCATCCGTTTCCTCCCCAAAATCATCCTGGCTGCCATCGTCACCACCTGCGATGAGGTTTACAAGAAGATTGCCTATTGGCTGAACGACATGGGTGCGTGGGGGTGGCACCCGGGGAGCAGGGCTGGGTGCTGGGACAACCCACCCACC